GTGGTACGTTCACTGGCTATCTAAGCATGTCCACTGACTGGCGTGATACGTTCACTTGCTATATGCGCATGTGCACTAATTGGCTTAGTACGTTTACTATTGCACATGCGCATTAGTGTTTGTGTGGCATACATACAGTGACAGTCACCCAGAACACTGTACTTAGCGTAGTGAATAATGTACAAAGCGATATAAGATGTTTATCATCGATTGTGTTCATTGTTATGGTAATTATATTTTTTCAGTAGCGTGTGCCCCTAGTTTAAAACGTTCTGTTGAGAAGCCAGCTCGAATCGTTGTCATGGTAAATTCAGACTACAATGACAAAAGTACGTTTTGCAATTTATTTCAAAATAAGTTGTTTTTGTGTTTTGATTTTTGAAGTTCAGCAAATAATGGGTATACACCTGATGAGTTGACTCGGACCTCGTATGACCTTTCACCTAATTGCCATCAAAGTCATCGTTACTGTTTTATTGAACTCACGTTTGCTGTCGCGTTATGATTTCTGATTATATGAAATCTTATTGAAATGTTAGAACTGACACACTTGATTTACAGCCCAAGATATCACACGCACTCCATGTGCCGATGTCACGTGATCATTTGACTCATACTCACTTATTGAAAAAACAATCACTGCTCTTCCACTTTTATCTTTAGCTGGTAACATAGCCTCTATTTCTTGTTCATATATTTGCCTGTACGCCGATGGTCGATAGTTGCTGTACAACTCCGGGTATTTTCGGCGAACTTCGTAATAATGCACGAGCATCTTAAAGGCGCGATCGACATCAAATTTCTTACATCGGAGGAAACGTACAAGGAAGGCGTCTTCGGGGGGTAGCTTGATTTCGGGTCGTTCCTTTTTAAATCTGGCTCTCAATTCGTCAATTTTCGCGTTCCTAGTACTGGGGTCTTCATTCAGCTCTCGTTTTGCCTTTTCCTGCATTGTGGCACTGAGTTTACACACGTAAGGTTGTCGCGGTAAATCCGTCATTATTGCTCTACAAGTACAGAGACGATTTGATCATCAGGAGTAAATAGGTAACGATGTCACGAAATGGGTTCAGTGTCATAGGAAGCTGTAAAGCGCATGCGCTCACATTAAGTAAAGTAAGGGTATTGTTACCATATAGTTTGCGGAGAAACATAGGTGGCGCCCTTTATATGCCGTTGACCTTGTGTCAGTCATGGTTTCACAAGTATGTCGCAGTTCATTACCACACGCACAAGACCAAAAATAGGTACATCCTGGCCAAAGTATCATTCAATATTGAACCGATGGGCGAAACTGCAGGCAAGACAAAGTTTGTCAGATATATTGGTGCTAATGAATATGCCTTTGCTCTATGAGACTTAATATTCCAAACAGAATCCTGGACAATAACTAGAAACATTAACGTCGATATTTCATCGTCGATATTAATGAACATTTATAAGCCGCGAATCTATTTAGCATATGTGAAACAAGCAAGCATATTGTGTGGTCAAAAATGAAAGAATGTTTCAACAATAATATAACAACAATCTACGTTGCCGTAACTCGAAGTTACGTTAACTCGCTGTTAATTAAATTCGAGTTACTGAATGTGGACATTAAACAACAACAAATTGTATGTTGTCCGTAACTTGAACTTCAGTTAACTGTTAATTACATTTTGAGTTACTAACTCGAAATTTGAATAACTGTTAATTAAAGTTCAAGTTACAAAATTTGAAAGTTAAACAAAACAAAAAATATATGTTGCCCGTAACTCGAAGTTTGATTAACTGCTTTTTAAAGTTAAAGTTACTGAATGTGGACGTTCAACAAAAAACAAAATCTATGTTGCCTGTAACTCGAAGTTATGTTAATTGTTAATTGAACATCGAGTTACAATTTAGGCGTGGTTTCACAAAAGTTGGCGTGGTTTCATAAATATGGGCGTGGTCATTTCTGTAACTCGATGTTTGTAACAGTGCGCACACTCTAGGACACATTCTCATGACTTGTTGAATACGCAAGTATTTGATGTGGAGATTGTTGTCGAACATCAAGCGACTTGCTTTGCCGAATTACACCGTAATCTCGTTGTAACAGAGTCTTTGGAGTGGGATTAATTTGTTATAGTAAATTGTTCACTATAACAAAGCACATATTACATTGGGTTTGTTATGAGCTTGAGACATGCAATTTATAAATTTTATGTAAAGCTGTTCATTATAACGAGGGTACGGTGTATTGACTCAACATATATCTAAATCAAGTTTTCTGGCATATGTTAATTATACTTCAAGAAATAGGTATATCTAATTATTCGAAGAGCAATTCAGAGCTCAATTATAAAAGAAAAATACTTAAAACAGTATTCAAAATCGACAACGTATAATATTATGATGAGTAAATTTGCATATTTTCATGTGTTTTAAATAACAAATCATACACAGTCAAGTATTAAAATTAAAGTTTAGAACATGTTTAGATGCTCACTAATCAAAACCTTGGCAACAGAATATCCATTTACCACTACCAAATAAACCATGATTATAGCTTCGTTGTCAAATATTTTCTTGCTGTTACAAAAATATGAAGTTATTTACGATGTGCGGCGTTCTGTCTGAGTGCATACTTTGAGGTATCCTCGTAATAACCTTATTATTATACATCTTTTCCTTCTAATGATACATACGTTTAAAGACACCTAAGGTTGAACTGAACAAATGTCGGTCTAGACAAAACAATTACAGATACGTTATAACCAAGTGGAAGCATTAACCTTGACTCAAAAACAAAATAGTAACTTTGGGGCACAAACAAAGTAGAATGCGAAATATCTGCAGCGTACGAGAAAAACTGTATTTTAGGAGACGGTTCGGCAACAGACGACTATGCAAAAACACAACTTATTACGTAGAACAGAGCAGCAACGTTTAGTGATGACGGGAAAAAAAACTACTGAAAAACATACATTTGCTTTGTCTTTAAATAGACTTATATTTGACCTTCGGTAAAAGGCGCGGAAATTAATCCCATGTGGGATTGGTCAGTAACTATCAGTAGCCTTGGACATGATTGGTCCGAATTAACTAATTATGATTGGCTAAAGAAATCACTATCAGAATCCGTATGTGAAGTCTAGCTCTAGCACATAATTTTTAGGATTTATGTTTCCGATAATATCCGAAGGATTTATTGTTCGTTGAGCAACGGCCATAAATTCAGGTTTTGGAAGTTTCCATGGCAATGGTATGGCACTTTGAAAAGAAGAAAAACCAAATGGTAGCTTTTGGTCTGTCAAGTTCCAACGTAATCGGTCCAGCCAACATCACAGAAGAGCTTATACGTGTTGCATGTGAACAGACAGACAGACAGACAGACAGACAGACAGACAGACAGACAGACAGACAGACAGACAGACAGGCAGACAGACATGTACAGACGGTGGACGGATGTAACGATTATCAGGGCAATCCTAGCCCAGGGAGCGGATCGCCATGACACCAAGAACTACGATTACCTACTGAAATTGCCTATTTTTGTTATCACTTCTAACAGCTTACTTCTTCATATGAGTAATAATAATAATCTTGTTATGATACACTTGCCCATTTTTTCCCACCATAACCTTTCTTCTCTCGTTGTCTCGTTCCGGTAGTACTCCTTACAAACCGGTGGAATATATTTGTCTGTATGCTGATGGCCCACAGTTACTGTATAACTCAGGCCCGTAGCCACCACTTTTGAATAGGGGGTAATATCGGTTTTAAATTCAATTCGTTTACTTTGTGTTACGTTGGTAAGATATTTCACATAACATCTTTAAACTATTTTACCATTTTAGAGAAGGGGTCCTGAGCCATTCCTCACCTATAGACAAACACATCCACACCATTGATCCACTACGGCAAAATGTTGTACACAAAAAAGACAAGACTGTACTTACCTTAGGATTATTGTCTGAGTATTTTAAGGTAGAAGGATACTTACGATTTTTTTTCGCTCTTCGCAGATGTTAGCGCACATAAAAGTGACACGACTTCGTGTCGAAATCTGTCTACAATTATTCATTTTAGTATTAGTTAATTTTGTATTATGTAATTTTATTTTTGTACAGGACCTCAGCCCATCGTACAAAATGTAATGGTTAAAAAAGTACATAGCACGTTTTAAACACAATACAACATCCATATAAACATATGGTAATAATAAGTTAAGCTGAATTCATATTCATCTTGTCGCTTGATAACTTTTGAAAGATATAGAGCTATTTGATATATGGTGTGGCAGTTTGTGTAGAGACGAAGTAAGCCCAGACTATCAGTATTTGCATAATTGCATAGGGTTATTGACAAAAGATCAGCCCTTAGATCATTATAAAATGGACATATAAAAACAAAATGAATTTCATTTTCTACCATGCTAAATTCGAACGGATCACTGCAAAAACTAAAAAAAATATTGATCTAACTGTATTTTTGTGTGTCTGCCTAATTCAACATTATGTTTATGGCCAAAACAGCGAAAACTCGTCAGTATATATTTTAGTCTATAATTGCTTGCCAATAAATCTCCCAGGTTATAATACCACTTTGATTTTTCCAAAAGTACACAGCCTGGATGATTGTGAAATTGAGGCATGCCACTATTTTTTTTTCTTTGAGTAAATATCCCTAAGAAATTTGCAGTATCTCCAACTTGTTTTTCAAACCAGACAATGCCGAAACCATATTTGAAGAGGGGATTTGTATGTGGGTTTCCCAAGCAAGTCTGTCGGTCTTGTCTAATCGTTTAAGCATGATATAACATGTTTTGGGGTTTCAGTAATTTTAACCAATATGAGATACAACGTTTGAAATAACCACAGCACAATGGCAGCCTTCCACATTGTCTAACATCGCTACATGGTTTGTACAACTATTAACACTAAATAGATATCTGCAAAATGTTATCTGTACCCTCTCTTACGTACCCCCATATTGCTACCATAAGAAATAGTTGGCACAATGATTGCATCAAACAAATTAAATGCACTAACCAATGGCATACTACAAAGTTTCTTACAGTATGTAAATGTATTTGGTTCACTGTAAATCTGTGTTTAGAGGGCGGTAAAATAATATGCATACAGTGGCAGTTTAGCAGCGGTCTCAAGAGACTTCATTGACTACAACTCAATCAATCAATCAAATATTTTATTTTTCCTAATAATGTACACTTGTAGTTTACAAAACAACTTCTTTTATGAACCCACTAAAAATATAATAGATTTTCTGAGACATCAAAAAAAAAACGTGTAAAAAAAATATGTTTGCAATTTAACTTTGCATAGTTTCAGTGCTGAAGCAACACTGTGGGGTAAATTTTTGGCTGCAAGGAGCTCTTCGACCTATACAACTCGTGATGATAAATCTTCGGCATTTTTTTAATGATATGACCAACCCGTAGCTGTACACTATTGTCCAATAACAGAGGCTACACGTACTAATACAATAAGTTAACTACATTTGGCTGATACACTTGAAACAAAACAGTAGATATGCCATCATAAACTTGAAGAATACAAAACTAATGAACCAAACTAGGAAAGTACAGTGTCGTGTTGTCGTGTCAATTCCGTTCGATCCCCACACTTTACTAACTGAGCGAACATTAGCACAAGACAAACTGCCCTATCCTCGGGGGCGGACATCCGGACATTTTCTACCGCTTGGCAACCCTCGCGGTGAAAACAAAGACCAAAAACTCGCAGAAAATGGTACTTTGCGAAGGTTGTTGAGAGTCCCCTGAACATTGTAACAAGATTAGCCCTACGTGTGTAACATATATGCATTTGGTTGTTCAGGATTACTTCAAAGTTGAGTTTGTGTTGTTTTCTCGAATTTTCACCGGCTCCACCAGCGTTCCACAGCAGCGCGCACAAAGCCCTTAGAAATACGTGGTACAGTGATGCGCGTCTTAGCAACGTAGAACGTCTGTGACGTAACTCCGCTCCCGAGGATTCAGGACCACCACATCATTCAGAAAGTGACTACCATTACATTATTGTTTCAATGTTGTTTTAATATTTAACATCAGGTGTTTGAACGCGATCTTCATTACACCATCGCGGAAAACCCGAATAAAAGCCTGCCTATTTATAACAACCTGTTTTGGTTGGCTGCTGTTGAGCCGAGGCGGCATAACTTCACGATTGACATTTAAAAAGCTCGTTGCTACCTAAATGCTCATTACTATGCATTACTCATTGCATTACTCTGACAGTTACGTCACGGGGTCAAGTGATTTAAACAATGATAATTATTTTAATTAATACTGTTTGTTTTATTATGTTCTAATCTACGGTCATAAATATGTTTACTTCCAAAATTTAGGGGGTTCGACCGAAACCCCCCCCCCCGAAAAAAAAAACTACGGGCCTGTAACTCCGGGTATTTTCGGCGAACTTCGTAATAGTGCACAATCATCTTAAAAGTTTGATCAACATCATATTTCTTATTGCGGAGGAAACGTCAATGAAAGCATCCTCGGGTGGTAGCTTGATTTCAGGTCGCTTCTTTTTAAATTTGGTTCTCACTTATTCTATTTTTGCATTCCTGGTGTCAAGTTCTTCGTTCAACTCTCGTTTTGCTTTTTCTAGTGTTTCAGGGCGTAGCGTACAAACGTAAGTTCGACGTTCGTTGAGATCCATTTGGGTGAGAATCACTCGATATGCTGCCGGAAACACTGATACGTTCATCAGTTGTCATATAAAGGTCACCGCCACAGCGGCACATTTGCCATGCGCATGCATATTCTACGACTTACGCAGTGCCCTTTAAAACGGCCATAGCAATATGGCACTACATGTAGTATCCAGAACAGTTTATCCGACAGATCCAGATTTAGGAACAATGGCATAACACTTGTATCTGACTCGTAAATATTAATATTGTTTGATATAGAATGTGTTTATAAAATATTTATAACAACTGAAGTATTGAATCTTGTACCAGTACACAGTAATATTACGTGTAACACTACGTTGTTGTCACAAGATGCAATATAGTAACTGAACTATGACCTCAGGCTGATCTCATTATTATGTGTTATACAGCTAGTGCGCATGTGCGTATGTGCGCTAACATGACTGGGATGAGCACTGAAAAATAAACACAGAGGTTGTTATAGAGACCCAAATGTGACGTTGTTATTTGTACAGAGAAAACTGTGAACATGGTGTCAGAGGAGCTAGCCTGGAGTGAACCAGCAACTGAAGAAACAGTCACATTTGAATGAATGTTCTAGTGTATTAGTTCATATTGCCACCATTATTACTGCTACCCTCTGTAATGCCACCCAGTTTCTATGGCGCATCGACTGAAATACTATTTAGGTGTTATTGTTTACCCTGATTTGATTGTCGCTTGAAACGTCATACGTATATGTTTTTAGACTATTGTAAACGCATTAATTATTCACTGTGTTTTAATTTCGCTATTTTCGCTGATAATTAAAATCCGCTAATAAACATGTGAACATGAAAAGTAACAATAAATCCCATTGTTTCCTTGACAAATTTGCGAACTTAAAATTCGATGAATATGCTCATAACATTAAAATAGTGAAATTAAATGAAAGTGAAAATAAATGGTTTTACAGTATATACCTTTTTTATTTGTTTTAACTGCAAAGATGTTCATCATTCTGATGTGTTGAAAGGTAGTTCCTAACCATTTTAAATGCATAAATCTGTGTTTGACAATACATATGATTTTGTTATGTCTCTGTCTCTGAAACATTACATTTGTACGACATCTGCTTATCTGTGCTGTGTGTTTGCATATATAATCTACATGCAATACATCCTAGCTATTGTTTAGTAAATCACCGAATTACTGGACAATATTCCACAAATACATTTTGTAAAAATGATATCTGCTAACTGGGGTGCAATGTAACCTGCTTCTAATTTCCAGTGCACCCATTCAATTACTTTACAATAATATTGTTTGGGGTCTTTTGTAAACGAGTAGTTGTACAATAAACACGAAACTGTAAAGTATTCTTGTATATGTTATCAAGTTGAGATATTGCAATTTAAACCATATCAAGCATATGCATATAATAAAACCGCCTATCTTGTGGTATTTGGAAATTTCGTGATTTTCTTCCAGGGATTGACAGTTTTCCCTTGAAAATGTTTTTGGCGTATAGCGAGATGTACTGTAAAGCATGTATTTTTAGCTAGCATATCATTTTAGCTAATTTAGCTAATCTGTAGTTTCGTCTATTCAAGATGTCAGTAATTTAAAATAAAGTATATTCTCACAATGAGATAGTTGACACTTTAGCTAAATTAAGATTCTGATAATTCATGCATGGAGTAGAATTCGCTAAAATGGCATGTAGATATTTAAACATGTTTTACAGTATTTCACTTTGCAACCTAGACAAATACAGAATTCACTGCCGAGGTTAAACTAAAGTGATATAAAGAAAATTGCAGCAGATCAAGTTATATTCAAGTTCATAAAGGATTATTCAGATATTTTGAGGGAGGGAACATAGCAGGAAAAGTACTATCTAAAATCCAAACGTAAACTTGTTGTACATCCGCCAAAATACATACCTTCATTTTATAGTATCCTAGCAACTATCATCAATTTTAAAAGGTGAAGGATGAACTGGACTGATTGACTAAGCAAGATATAATAGCACCAATAACAGAGCCAAGTATAGTGTTTAGCGTTTTTCATTAGTTACACATCCCGCATATTTATTGTTTCTGGTGAATATCGCTATAGACAATGTCAAACGAGTGCAGGGGAACATTCACAGTCGATGATAAGCTTTGTAATACGAGTTTGATGCAGAGATACAGAAAGCGTATTAGCTGAACCTCAGAAAATTGAGGGACTGTGCCTCATACTAGTGTAGGTAGTATCATGATCATTAGATTTGTAAATTATCGTTTTTACCGAAAATGAACGAAGTGTGTTAACCATAAAGAGCTAACATTTAACATAATTCAGCAGAAATGTGCCGCAACAGATTTTTACATTTGAACTAAATATTTAAAAAACGACTGTGTACTGTAGGTATGTTCGTCTCAAAAACATAATGCTGCGTATGTTAACGGTTTAGTTATTAAGCTCTGATAAACTGGTTGTTATTTTTAATTACACAGCATCGTATACCCTTGTTTGTGCACGGTGTTACCATTAATTCTGTTGATGAAATTCCAGGAGAGTTGACAGACTCAACACAACAATTGTTGTATATCCCGCATTTTGTGCATGCTACAAAACCTACTTGCTAGCAGTACGAAATCTGTCCGCGGTCATGCTGAAAGTAGTCCGGTACCATATATAGAGCATGTGTGTTAGTGAATTTATGAAATGCATATCACCCCGGTGTGACGTCACACCTAGGCAATAACGAACCTACGTATATATCATTATGAAATAGTATAACGTGCAATATTTCGGTCTTGTTGATTTCCAGTAGCATGGGTGCACTAAATATATATGCGATAATCAATAAATACGTTGACCGTGGACTATATTGATAGATTTAGGATTAATACGCGTGTAACATGAGGATAATCTGTGTAAATCGAGTGAAGTGATCAATAGGTGTCAACGATTATAGAGGGCGCACCAGATGTGACAGCTCGGGGTCGTCAGTTCAATCACACTTTTAGGGATGATTACGTCGTACAGTGAAGGGCACACAGCTGGGACTTTGATTACAAGCATATTTATAAAAATGTGTAAACATTGTCTACGCCCATTATGCGCGCGCTTGCGTTCACGTGAAATGAGGCGCTTGCTGAATGGATAATGTTGAACTAACTTTTAATACTGGTTACAACTATCGATAATGTCACATTTCTATTTCTGGATTGGTCAATTTGAATTCTAACATTCGTATTTTGTTTATAAGAATGTTTATTTATAAAACGTTCGTAACTACCCCAGCTTCCTGTCCTTAACGGTATAATACTGTATATTTACATATACTCATTTGAAAAATCCCACGATGCAATACGTTGAATCAAAGCACCAAGTTTGTGTTTTAATAATTACCTTGATGCTGAGAACAGTGGTGTCATCAACTATTCACTGTATTATGATGTCTTAAACTGGCATAAATCAGAATGGCTGAAAGGGGTTATTCGTCTAGTAATAATACCTCCCACAGCAGTTTTTTTATGACAAAAGACCGCGTCATGTTGTCTATATAAACGTACTGTATTACAGCGCGTGTTGGTGGCATGACGCCACGAGGTCAGTGCGATGATGCGTATAATCCTACCATTCGTGGCTGGTTTTATTGTTTGAATAAAACAATCTACCATTCGCGTTGTGTTCAGTTCGTAGTGATGCAGATTGACTGGGTACACTCACAGATACCTAGGATGGACAATTTGAATTTCGATAATTATGTACGCAGACGGACATTACATAGAGGCCTCTGGTATGGCTCGATGTTTATCGCATCTATGATGGTGGTTCGCATCGTGGATGAACCGACAATCGCTCAAATGCGAAGGAATGAAAATGGCGGTGACGTAAATGCTTTGGACTGGAGTTGGTTAGACACGTCGATTCAAGCTGTTGGGAGAAGTCTTCACGTTGGTGGAACTACGAAAACTATTAGGGAGTACCTTGAAAAGAGGATGTCTGTGTCATGTTATATTCCGACAACACCCGTGTTCAACACAGGAACGTTAATGAAACCGTCCGTTCGTCAAGAGAAGCAGTGCGAACAGAGGTTACCATCGGCCGTGATTGCTGGCGTAAAAAAGTGCGGCTCAGGCCCGTTATTTAAATTCCTGAAAATACACCCAGAAATCGTCGGTCCCCCTGGTGACTTGAAGTACTTTGATGGTTTGCATAATCTCTCTGATACTAAATGGTATATTGATAGAATGCCGTATTCAACCAAGAAACAAGTCGTCCTAGATAAGGAGGTAACTGCTTTTCAATCACCCCATCATGCTCCACAATATATTCGTGAAATTCTTACCCCTAATGTGAAAATAATATTCATTCTCTGTGACCCTGTCGAGAGAATGTTATCTGAATACTTCGACGTGTGGGCTCAACGAGACGAACAGACTCAATCAGGACAGAGTACTAAAAACCTCGCCACAAGGTTCCAAGATTCTGTACTGGAACGGACGCAAATAAAAAATACGGAGGAGCGTAACAACTTCTTAGACAAGAGTAATTATATACAACACGTGATACGCTGGCTGGAACCGTTCTCATCAACTAATCTACATTTTGTTGACGGTGAACTCTTTAAAACCGACCCGGGATCCGAGCTACAGAAAATTGAGCAATTTCTCGGTATAAAGCTATTTTTCGAGACGGATAATTTTTACTACGATCCGGACAGAGGGTATTCGTGTATGAAATACCCCCATCCATTCTGTTTCTCTACACGACCCCAGCACCCACCTCTGGACGAATGGGTTGAGGAAAGAATGTGTGAGTTTTACAAACCATTTAATGAAGGTTTGGCGATAATGTTGAATAGACGTTTTGCGTGGATGGATTACTGCTAATAATTACTGCCGACGATTTAAGAACACGAATTTACGGTCTACTTAAAATTTCGGTTATTTCAGATAGGCCATTAGAAACTATGTGAAGACGATATCCGACTGTAATGTCGTGCCCTTCACTCAAGTTTAGAGATTGTTTCCCAGGATGGTGATGCTGCTTTGTTCTCCTTTACATATGCGTACGTGTGTTTTCACCTCTCTCTATATATATTGTTTGTCACTGTCCTGGCAGGATTTGGTTTTTGATTAGTCCCCGTACTGGCCCTCCCAAATGTATTACCTCTTTCTGAGTTTCTAATGGTCCTACTCCATTGTTTTGAGATACTGCCCACGGGCAGCTGACGTGTGTGCTCTTAAGTTGTTATATAAATCCCCTTCTTCCTAAACTCCTATACACATACGCCATATGACAGTGCGTACCGTATACGCGGGCCACACAATTTATACCCAAACACACTACGCTTTACCTGCTTTACATTCGACATCTCATTTACGTTTTTAATGGAATGCAATTTGATAACTACATAAGTTGTACAATTTAGACGGACACAAATAACTAATCACGATGTACAATCACGGTATTCTAATTAATTCGTGCGTACATCGGTAATATGAAATATACCATTATGTGTGAAATATGATTAATATTGATCTATTTGATCTACGTCTATTTTTTCTCATCCATGGTTTTGATATGGATGATTACACATGGCGTATAATATAGGTATCACACCATTATTATGCCGCAGTGTCAACCTGTAAGTTTATTATTATTAGTAAGTTAGTTGGTTTGGTAAACTATGTTAGCTGTGGACGAATAATGAATGACGACTGTTCAAGGAATTCAAGACTTGATTTTCTGTTATACAAAAAAAAATATGTGAGACCGTTTGCATGTATACATTGTGTAGATATAGAAGCAACTAAATCGTCAACCAAGTTCTGACCTTTTTTCAACTAATAAGTTAATTTTATATATATATATATATCATATAATGTACTTGGAAGTGTTTTGTGATAGTATTTTGAATAAATGGACTGAAGCATGGTAACACCGTGTGCATTTAATCAGTAGGGCAACAGCTGGAGCCGCACAGAACCAGTGGATAAACCATGTTATACTAGTATTTACTTTACAGAGACGAGCTTGTGAACGTGCCATAATTTTAAAAGACTGGCCAGTTATGATGGAAATAAAACAGCGAAATGATGAATTACGTCAGGGTATTCATGATCAATTTATTTTACTGTGAAGGGGAGAATCGGTAGATAGAAAAGATCACACTTGTATTCATATAGTGTCAGTGCCACGTGACTCAATACATTATTCTACTTCACTATTAATCTAATATGACATAGCATAACACGATTGTTTCGTCATATAGCGGGTGTTGGGGTAGCAGGGTACGGGGGTATCAGTACCTGCTCAGTCTGTATCAATATCAGAACGACAAATATAATTGTCCTTCTTTAGAAATTCAAAATTATCACCCGTAATTTTATTCTGTGATCGGCATATTGAGAATATAACTAAGAAAGGAGTTAGCTGTCAGCTCAGATTAGGATATCATGTGTTTGTAATAATTTACATATCTATATACTAAGCAATCATGTGTTTGTAATAATTTACATATCTATATACTAAGCAATCATGTGTATATCTAGCACACATGGCGATGTTTACAATGAGGTATATGGTAACCGGCTTTTTAAATAGTGCCATGCTGTCAGATACATCGTGTATTGAGCCGACTACTGCTACGTATAATTAGCCGACAGTTTTGCACGTGTCATTTGTAACGCATAAAAATGATTTGCATACTATGTTAGCTACGCAATAAAATCAAACTAGATTAATATATTTACACACGATTCATATACGATTCATTTGTTATAACATTTTTGACCAACACCCTTAGTAAAACGTTCAGAGTTATTTCAGAACATGATGTTCCGATGCTGTTAGATGTACATATTGTACGACTTCATGTGTGGTTAGTCACGTGGTTAAAACGTTACATGCATCAGAGAGGTAAGTGCTCAATCTAATAAAAATAGTTTGGTAGTTTTTTTTTTGTGATTATATTGGTAAGGGTCATTCCCGTAAATATATTAGAATAACACAATCGAACACAATTTATACTTAATAATCTGAATAATGTGTATTAATAATTATTTTAACGACACGCACACGAGGTTATTATTCACCATACAATTGCTTGTACGACGTAACCACGGTTTAGTTTATATTTATAATAGATATATAACGGTAAATATCCAGCATTATTCATTTTACATAATTACAAGCACAAGCTGCAAGAATAGCAGTCATATTTGTGGATACTAGTTTCATTTACACGCAATACATTGACGTGATGGTGGATATTATCTGAACACTTCGTTCGTGACACATAACAGACAGACCGGCTTTACATGTAATATTCTTATACTCAGTGAATAAATATAGTTTACATGTGTCAAAGGTCATTGTGCATCATCTATTTGCTACTATTAACGAACCATGTGCTGTGAAATATGGTTCTACTTCATAAGTGCTTACAGGTCTTACAATTGTTACGTCACAGCATATACGTTACGTCACAGCATAGACATCAAGCAAACATGTAATTCTATCTAACGAATAAGAGGATTCATATGTACGTAATCCGGGGGCAGCCTGACAAGGTCGCGTGGGTTGCGCCCTTCGCGGTGTTCCAAACCCAACATTATTAGGGTCTGATAGAAGTCCCGTTTAATACATTTAAATGTGCTGATGGGGGCAGAAAAATTCAATATAATAGCAATGCGATTCAAACATTCAATAAATTAGTTTCGATTGCCCGGGCGTATGCCATAGTTGCAACGTTACTCAACGCACTCGCGATGGAGAGGGTTCGATTTCACAACCGTTCGTCCGCAAGACTGTTTGCATCAGTTTTTCTTAAGTTGAATATACTGGTAGATGCTTGTATGTTGTCCCCCTGAAATAGTTACGCACCAAAGGGATATAAATGATATTTTGTTCATATTTTCAGTGTATGAATATAAAACACGTTTCTATATTTTATGAAAAATTATTGAAGTACATTCACGTCAATTCAACTCCTTCCTCGGGTATGGTCGCTAAGTAACCATGGGACTATAAACGTCATACGCTATTCATGATGTCATGGCTCAACGTAAATCACATGTTTTTGTATTGAATGCCCATTGTAACAGTAGATCAGGACACATCTGTGCTAATATCATAACTTATAGCAATATTTTGAATGATTAATTCGAAAACAGTGTTGTACAACAAGTGTCGTTTAAGGCAGTTATGTCAATCTGCAAACGAATCTCACATTCAGTAACGCCAATTATCTATTAGTTATGTCATGCGAGTTTTTCAACGGATCGGTAAATTCCAGAATATTATATGAGTGTAATGTAAATAAATGAGATTTCTGCATACAAGGAATGTAATGAGACTGGATATATCTGTTATGTGCATTTGTTGGGTTAAAGATCACCATCGGAAGGAATAGATATAGGAAGAATTAATCGAATCCCTTATGACAGCTGGTGACGAGAAGGTACACATACTAATAAATTGTCTTTTTCAAGTTGTTTATGATGTTGTTTTATGATCGATGATAGTATCATCCCAAACGCGACAAGAACTCGCTGATGAGAGCTTAAAAACACATATATTGATTTTATAAAACCCACAGTTTTAGTAGTGGTAAAATAAAATAAAAATACACAAGAAAAAATGCAGCACGCATATTTCTTAGTGAAAAATGTTACACACAGAGGAAATAAAAAAAGAATAGCATATGATTTGTATACTTTCACTGACATCACCCAGAGTTATTTTGCATGGTATTTACAATAAAATGAAAGAAAATTATGTGGCGTCCCTCATAATGAGACTTGGGGGACGAATAAGTTTCCATGGCAATACTGTAAAATACTTAGTTACTCGTTGGATTTTCACTTATTTCGTAAGGGTTACATGCACTAAATTATTGTCTTATTTTACAAACCATTCATTTTTTTTAGTAATTATGGCTCTCTTTTTTTCGCCGACTTTTCTTCTTAGAATGTGATGTTGTGAATCATCTTTATTGACTTTCATAATGATGACAGAATAAAGGGTTGCTTGCTGGACAGACAGTCTGGTTTGATGAGGTTTGAGGGCGCAATTGATTATTTGTTTGAACCACCAAGGATATACATATATTCCCCGAATTGACGGCGTAGAATACTATATTAAGATTGCTAAGTCACTAACTATGATCTACATTATCACACCCTAAAAGCAAGCAAAAAAGTTCACGCTAAAAAATAAATTGTTGGCAGAAAGTGTACATATACATTGACAAGTGAGTAAAATCGCAAATGGAGTGGCGAAAAAGTGAAGATTCGCCAAACATTGCATTTTAAACCAGTAGTGTTTTTTTATTCGACGCCCGTCGATGATGACGTAATTATTACGTCAGTAACGCGAATTTAACTAACCCTGTAACAAGCCACTACATAATGTCGATCAATCTAGAATACTATTTTTATTATGGATAATTAGTTTCCCTCGCTCGCTTAATATTGACATTGTTATATATAATTGCTGGATGTACAAAGTAACCACTAATTCAAGTTTATCACACATGGTACGACGCTGAATGTGTATTATAAGTTAATTTCGTCATCACTGTCAGATAAAAGCAATTGTTCTGTGAGTCGAGCATCTGAAAGATTTCCTTCATCAGATTCGTCAGATTCTCTGTCTTGTAGCAAACTTTCTTTACTTTCTTTAAAGCTTTCTAAAGACGAATGGGAATTGTGAGAAGTGGCAACGGTATGACTGTCTGAGTTTGACGATAAAAGTTCGCTTGTAATGTCTCCAGAACTTGCACTACTCATTTGCCTTTCCTGAAAATGATCGAGATTTTCACTATCGCTGCTTGCGTCAAAAAAGTCATCACTGTCGCCTGGGCCGCTCTTGACACTTGCATCAGCATCCATCTTATCGTTGTTCGGCTTTTGTCCGATATCCTCAACGTCCCCCGTCAGCTCGGATGTTGTATCCTCGTTTGAAGACGAGCTGGAATGTTCTGTATCCTCTTCCGTAACAAAGTCCACTCTACCACGTGCTTGAGAAACTATATTTGAATTACTGCCACTATCACACTGGCTTTCGTTAAAAACGGAACAATTACTTGTGCCATCGTTAGAGTTGTGTTCGTTAACGGAGTCGTTAACAGATAGAGTAACGTCATCACCGTCACCACGGTTGCTTCCAGTACCGAAGTTCTCTAAACTTCTTGTTAAATTTTCCATAGAACGTGCCAGTGCGTACTCATATGTTGGGGGTGGGGTCATTGCCTCTTCATCCACGGAATTTCCCGCTATTACATTTGCGTCTACTCGATTTAAATCAAGAAGAGGAACACCGGCCTCAGGCGGGGTTGCATTCGGACCATTTTGTTGCCACGACGACTGCGTAAACAGTGCGGAGTACGTCGGCGGTGGTGTTCTTGGCTCGTCGTTATTGGTTGTCGGAAGAGGTCCATCAATGTCACTTTGTATACAGGCATCGCCCCTGTAAGAATAGTTAGTATTCAATTTAAATATTGACGCGGAAATCACCGTCCGACACGTTTGTATCTAAATGCAAAACAAATGGCAGCCATAAAAGTCTTGAATGCATGTGCGTTCAGCCCAGGGATTACATTGCCATTTGTTGTTAATTACAGCACAATGAGGTAGTTTGACAATTGCATAAAGATACCGTTTGTATTTTTAATTAAAAGGCGGCAGTCGTCGCGGCATGCATGTGCAAGATATATGGGTCTCATATAAACAAAGATGGTGACTTTGACTATTGCGCAGATCAACGAGTACACACTGAGACGTTACCAAGCTTTAATTAGGTATTTTTAGATGATTTGAAGGCATCGAATGAGTCACCGGTGGTAAATAGTGCAAGTCGCACCCAGGTCAAACCTCATACTTGTGATTCCCATTAGAAGAGCGCATTGGATTATGGGAAAATCAACATAAAT